CACTAAGAGAAAATATACTTGTTGTTTTATTATCGTTGTTATGCGTATGTTTATTATGCTTAACATTATCACCATATCATTATTACTATTATTATCGTCATTGTCGTTATTACTATTATTATTGGTGTCATTGCTAACACTGTCTTTATTAATATTACTATTGCTATTATTTCTAACATAGTTGTTATTATTTGCATTATTATTATCATTACTATAATTATTAGTAGTAGAATTTATCAATATTACTATTGCTATTATTTCTATTATAATTGCTATTTTCATTATTATTATGACTATAATCATTATTAGTAGAATTAGTATTAGTATTATTGTTATTGTTATTTTCACTGTTAATATAATTTCATCACTATTGATATTATTGCTATTATTAATATTTTCAGTGTTACTATCAGCAATATTATTATCATTATCATCATCATTATTACTATATATATTATATATAATATATATATATATATATATATATATATATATATATATATATATATATATATATATACATATATATATATATATATATATATATATATATATATATATATATATATATATATATATATATATATATATATATATATATATTGTGTGTGTGTGTGTGTGTGTGTGTGTGTGTGTGTGTGTGTGTGTGTGTGTTGTTGTGTGTGTGTGTGTGTGTGTGTGTGTGTGTGTGTGTGTGTTGTATGTATGTAATGTATATGTTTTGTGTGTGTATACATATATATGCGCGCGCGCGCGTGTGTGAGCGCCTTAGCGTGTGCGTGTGGGTATGAATTCATAAGTATTATCCGTGCGTCTTTCTACATGTTTCTTCCCTTTCTTTTTGAACATCTATGTAACTCTCCCTCTCCGTCTCTCCCTCCGCTCTCTCTCCCCTCTCATCTCTCCCTCTCACTTTCTCCCTCTCTTCACACTTTCTCCCTCTCACTTTCTCTCCCTCTCCATCTCTCCCTCTCCCTTTCTCTCCCTCTCACTTTCTCCCTCTCACTTACACTCCGTCTCCGTCTCTCCTCTCACCTACTCTCCGTCTCCGTCATTCCCTCTCACTTTCTCCCCCTCTCCCTCTCACTTTCTCTCCCTCTCCGTCTCTCCCCATCTTCAGGATCGCGGCAGAAGGATAATGATGTCCTCCCTCAGGATTATCCCTCAAAACATCTGTTCCAGGTCGCGACTACCCTCCTCCCCTCCTCCCTCCCTCCTCCCCATCCTCCCATCCCTCTCCCTCCCCTCCCCTTTCCTTCCCTAAACGCTACCGTCTCTCGCACCCCCCCCCCTCCCCCCGCTCCTCTCCCCTTCTTCCTTTTCCTTCTCACTCCTCTTTCTATCCTTCTCCATACTGTATTCCTCCTTCTTCTCCGCTCTCTATCGCTTCCCTCTCCTCTTCCTTCTCTCATTCTCCCTATTCGCAATTCTCCCTATTCTCCCTATCTCCCTATTCGCACTCGATCTCCTCATCCTACCTATCTCCCTTACCGTCCCTCCCTTCCTAACTTCCTCTCTCCTTCCCTCCCGTCCTCCCTCCCTCTCTCCCCCTCCCTCCTCCCTCCTCCCTCCTCCCTCCCCTCCCTCCCTCCCCTCCCTCCTCCCTCCCTCCCTCCCTCCCTCCCTCCCTCCCTCCCCTCCCCTCCCTCCTCCCTCCTCCCCTCCCTCCCTCCCCCCTCCCCCTCCCTCCCCCCTCCCTCCCTCCCGTCCTCCCCTCTCTCCCAAACATTTATCAGGAATTATATTATATCTCTCGCCAAAATCAGATTAAATATCCCCATTGCGCCGCCGGAATGAATTAGCACGTCTCCTTCTGTGCTTATAAACATTACGAGCGGCTCAAGGAATGGGCGGGAAACAGAGATAGGAATTAATGAGCTTCGATTCGCCATTTATGCGATCCGATCCCTTATGGCGCGGGATTCGGCTTAATACGAGAACCATTATGGATCTTCCTGACTTTATATTCACTTATTGTACCTCACTCCCTCCCCTCCCCTTCCTTGACATATCTAGCCCCCCCCTGTTACCCTACCCCCCCTTACCCCCTACCCATACCCCTTTCTGTTGGCCTGTTGACGGTATGTGATATTCGTCTATGATAGCTTCCAGACCGAAAGGATATCAGTGTGTAGAATCCAATGCTCCTTTGTGTAGAGTTGGATCCTATGCTCGGCTTGGGAACGATGTGCATTTGGGATGGGTTTCGGGTGGAGATTTTTTTAATTTTATTTCTGGGTCGTGTTTTTATTTTATTTATTCTTTTTGTTTGGTTATGTATTCGTTTATCTTTTTTATTTTTTATTTCATCTGTTTTTTTTTTTTTTTTTTTGCATAATTTATTTTCATGGTCACCGCTGTTGTCATTTTCATTGATATGATTTATATGATAATTAGTACTATTATTATCACTATTGTTATTGATATAGATACTATCATCATCATATTATTATTATCATTATTATCATTCTCTGCTGTTACTATTGCTGTTATTGTTATATTACCGTTATCATCAATATTGTTATCATTTATATCATCGTTGTTGTTGTTGTTACTATTTTTATTATTGTTATCGTCAACATAGTGTTTTATTATTGTTATTAATATTATTACTATTATATTGACATTATTATCATTATGTCATTATTATTGTCATTGTTATCATCGTTTGTTTATCTATTATTATGATCATTATCATTATTATTCATTATATTATTATTATCATTATTATTATTATTATTATTATTTATTATTATTATTATATTATTATTATTATTATTATTATTATTATTATATTATTATTATTATATTTATTATTATTATTATATTATTATTATTATTATTATTATTTATATTTATTGATTATTATATATTTCTATCATTGTTATTATTATTATATTTGTTATCATTATTATTATCGTTATTATCATTATCATTATTGTAGTCCTTATTGTATTGTTCTTATTATAATCATCATCTTAATCGTTATTATCACTTTTATTGTCACTCTATATCACTATAGTCTATCTTAGATCCAACATTAAAATACCTTTATAGGAATTTTGTTCATCAGATTACCGTAATTAAATCAATTCATTTCTCCGAATTTGATATAAATGTTCTAATTCCTTTTACGGAAGAAAAAGGACAAAGTGTTTCCTTAATTTTCTCTCGTGTTCTCTTGGCCGCTGACTTTGTTCTTAAAGGTGAAAACATCTTCAGAATATTCCATTGATTTTAGAAGTGCGTGTGTGGGTGTGTGTGTTGTGGGTGAGTGGGTGTGTGAGTGGTGTGTATGGGTGTGTGTGGGGGGGGGAGGGGTATGGATGTGTGTGTGGGGGGGGTATGTGTGTATGTGTGTGTGTGGGGGGGGGGTGTATGTGGTATGCGTGTGGGGGGTGTGTATGTGTGGGGGGGGTGTACGTATTTGTACGTGTGTGTGTGTACGTGTACGTTTGTGTGTACGTATGTGTGCGTGTGACTTTTTTCTATCGTGGTATTTCGTGCATTAACGACGAAATATCAACGAAATTCGCAAGAATATTTTGCGAATTCGTTCAGATGTTTGTTCTTACGTCAACGGGATTCACAAAGCCATGAGGTCGGCTTGATAGAGCACGTTAATCTTTATTGACATTATCGTTTACATCAATGTTCAAATCTGTAAGTAATTCGTTATCGCTTCACGTTAGATATATATCAATTTCTTATCGTTTCCTTACGTTTTAAGATTTTTAAACAATATCCGATAGCGAAAATAATTTGCATATACTTATATAACAATTTCTAGTTTGAATATCCGATAGGGAAAAAATTAAGCATATACTTATATAACAATTTCTATTTTAAATATCCAATGTTGAAAATAATTTGCATATACTTATATAACAATTTCTATTTTAAATATCCGATAGTGGAAAAAATTAAGTATATACTTTTATAACAATTTCCATTTTGAACAGTATATAGCGATAGATATGAACAGATAAATAAATTGAATACCAGATATATTAGTTTTTATCCGATAGTGAAAAGATTAAGAAAATGTTTACATAACAAATTGCATTTCTAACTATATATCAATAGACACAGATCAATCTAAAAAAATAAATATATCAGATATATTAGTGTTTAGCCTTCAATATTTTTTTCTTTTTTTTCATTCACTTTTGAACTCTTGAACTTTTGAACATTGTCTGGATATCCGTATAAGTATATAGATAAATAAACGTAAAATATTGTTTAATAAACAAATAACTATCACACTCACTCATTTATTACCAGTCCACAGTACACCATTACATCCCTCATAAGCTTAATTATCATTCATTATTACATTATCAGTTATCATTAATTATCATCAATCATTACATTACTCATGAGCTTAATTATCACTAATGACTACATTATTATCGTGAATTATCATTATTTATTACATTATTCATGGGTTTAATCCGTCTTATTTGACCGGCTGAAAGAGGGGAGGTGTTCACGGCATCAATTCACCTTCATCTATCTACTTTTATCTATCTATCTATTTATCTATTATTTACTTTTATCTACTTATATATCTATATTTTATCTACTTATATATTTATAATTTATCTACTTATATATTTATCTTTTATCTACTTTTATATTTATTATTTATCTACTTATATATATTTATCTTTTATCTACTTATATATTTATATTTTTTTCTACTATCTTTTATCTACTTATATATTTATCTTTTATCTACTTATATATGTTTTATCTACTTTTATCTACTTATCTATCTATCTTTTATCACTTTTATCTTATATATTTATGTTTTACCTACTTTTATCTACTTCTCTATCTATCTTTTATCTACTTTTCTCTACTTATCTCCATCTCTCTCGCCGTTTCACTTCCTTTCAACTTTTATCCAGTTGTGCGTTTCTCTCTTATAGTGTCATTTAAGAGAGCGATTAAGAGATGTGGTTAAGAGAACTTCATTGAAGTGTGATGACGCGGAGGTGAAGTTCAGGTTGTTGTGAAGGCGAAGGTGGAAGGTGAGGTTGTAGTTGTAGTTGTAGTTGAAGGTGAAGTTGTAGTTAGATGTGAGGTTGTAGGTGTGGTTGTAGTTAAATGTGAAGTTGTAGGTGTAGTCGTGGTTGAAGTTGTAGTTAGATGTGAGGTTGTAGCTGTATTCGTGGTTGTAGTTGAAGTTGTAGTTATAGTCTTAGTTGAAGGTGAAGTTGTAGTTAGATGTGAGGTTGTGGGTGTGGTTGTGGTTGTAGTTGAAGTTGTAGTTATAGTCGTAGTTGAAGGTGAAGTTGTAGTTAGATGTGAAATTGTAGGTGTAGTCGTGGTTGTAGTTGAAAGGGAAGTTGTAGTTGAAGGTGAAGTTATAATTGAAAGTGAAGTTGTAATTGTAGTCGTGGTTGAAGTTTTAGTCGCAGTTGAAGTTGTAGTTAAAGCTGAAGTTGTAGTTGTAGTTGATGTTATAGTCGAAGTTGATGGATGAAGTTTGAAGTTGTAGTTGATGTTATAGTCGAAGTTATTTGATGAAGTTGAGGATGAAGTTTGAAGTTGATTCCCCGCATCGAGAAAGCAAAACACAAACAAACAGACAGACACAACACAATTACCCAAATAACCACCCATTTCCCCGATGCCCAAGAAAAGATGTATATACACGAAACCACAAGAAATAGATAAATAAAAATAAAAAAAAAAGTGTACAAGATATTGGGAAAGTTCTAGAAGAAATTCCAAGAGGAAAAGAGAACATTTCTGTAGCCGAGAAAAAGAACGAGAAGAAATGGAGAATCGAAAGTGGTCTATGGAGCCTCTTGCCGTTAAGCTGATTTTAAGATCATAATCAATGGCTTTCCGGCCTTAAGCTCTAAGGCAATAGGACAGGGAACGAGATCGATAAATTCCACTACATGAAAGGTCATGATAGAGAGACAGATAGATAGGTAGATAAATGGATGAATAGGTAAATAGAGTGATTGAGAGATGGATATATAGATTGAACGATAGACAGATAGAGAAACAGATAGAGCGATAGATAGATAGATAGATAGAGCAATAGATAGATAGAGCGATAGATAGATAGATAAAGCGATAGACAGATAGAGCGATAGAGAGATAGATAGATAGATAGAGCGATATATGGATAGATGAATGGATGAATAGATAAACAGAGTGATTGAGAGATAGATAAATAGATAGATAGATAAATATATATAACGATAGATCGATATATACATATGACGAAAGATAGATAGATAGATGATTAGAAATATAGATAAACAGAAGGATCGATACACGTAGACGAGATAGATAGATAGATAGGATCATAGATAGATAGACCCAGACTAATTATAGACCATAGATAGATCAATAGACAGGAAGTAAAACCCAACGACGCCACGCCACTGCACGCAATTTTTAAGGTCCTTTTCCCGACAGCCGCTGCGACCGGTTTAGCCTCCTGCGCCGGTTTAGGTTCGGTTAATATCAGCGGAAAATGAAGGTTCACCCGGCACAGGCAGAAGCTCCGTTCCCTTGCTTTCGACACGAAGGGAAGTGAATGTCAATATTGAAGGACCGAAGTTAGCATTCTTGGCGGCCGTGGAGTGGAGGAGAAGGGGGGGGGGAATGATAAAAAAAGAGAAAGTTTTTTTTTTTTGGGGGGGGGGAGGGGGAATGATAGAATCCTGAGAGAGGTGTGTGTTTGTGTGTGTGTGTGTGTGTGAGTGATTGGTTTTGTTTGTTTTAAGGGTGAGGAGAGATAAGGGATAAAGGGGAGGAGGTTTGGGACGAAAGAAGGGGGGAAGAAGGAGGAAAGAGGAAAGGTAAGTATCTGAACCTTGGGATCTTCAAAGTCTTCAAATGCGTTCGGGAAAAGAGAGAGTTGCGTTCACAGACGTAACTCGAAAGGCCAGTTAAAATGGACACACAGATTCAAGGCGCTGGAAAATGGAGGTTAGTTGAACTCCGACTTTTCCTTTTTTTTCTTCTTCTTCATCTTTCCTTAACTCTTTTCTTTTTATTTCTCTTAAATCTCGCCAGGGACGTTAACCTCGGCTTCTACGACTCGGGGGGAAAAGCCGTTCGGTTTTGCGAAAGCGGTTTAATTGGTGCGGCGTGGCTGGCTCCGACCGCAGCCGCCGGACAAAACATCCACGAGTTTGTCTGATGGTTCGTGTTCATTGTCCGGGTGTAAGAGATACAGATAGCGGCGGCTTCTGGATTATAGGAGACAGAAAGAAGATAGAAAGAAGAAGTAGGAGAAGAAGAAGAAGAGAGAGGGGGGGGTCACGTCTCCCCCCCCTCCCTATCGCTTCCCTCCCCTTCCTTTGGCCGCCCGAGACCCAGCTCCTCTTTGTTGGAAAAGGCGAGATTCTTTGTTAGGCGGCACTTTAGGCAGGCTGGGATAATGGTTTTATTCAGCCCTCAAAGTGATTTGCTCCATTTCGCCACCGAATAATTCATGGATAAATGGAGGCGCTCTGTCTGCAAACAACAGATGGGGCTAAATCTAATCATCCCTGCCGCTCTTGCCACGCCCCGCCCACGACAAGGGAGAGGGAGGAGTCTCGGCGCTCTCGGGGGTGCGATTGGCTCGCGGGAAGGGGGCGGAGTCGGCGGTGCCCGCGCGAGAGCTGAGTGGTTCGTGGGAATCGAGGGCGGGGAGATGCTAAGCGGACGGACGCTGTGATTGGCTCCCTCAGCTGACGCACAGCGGGAGGCCCGGAGTGGAGGGTTGTAAAAATGGTTTGGTTCGTACATTTGTCATCATTATTTATCAGCAAGGTCCTGGGTGAAGAGCAGCGCCCTGCCTTCCGCACTCTCACATACGCTTAGAGAGAAAACACGCTTGTTTGTGCCTTTTGGACAGTTAATTCCTAGAATCTGTGGAGGTGCTAGTGTTAGAGAGACTTGTGGTGAGCTCCCGTGGAACATGCCAGTGTGCGAAACAGACATGTCGGACGCCGTGTGTTTGTCGCCCGGGGCGGAGGTGGCCCACTACAGCGAGGACGAGGCCGACCCGTGCAGGGGCGCGCCCGACAGCGACGAGGACGACTCGCGGCCTCACCAGATCCCCGAGGACGCCGCCGACGACGCCGACAAGAAGAGCGGCGGCCCCGTCAAGCCTCCTTACTCGTACATCGCGCTCATCACCATGGCCATCCTGCAGGCGCCGAAGAAGCGCGTGACGCTGAGCGAGATCTGCGAGTTCATCATGAACCGGTTCCCGTACTACAAGGCCAAGTTCCCCGCGTGGCAGAACTCGATCCGCCACAACCTGTCGCTCAACGACTGCTTCGTCAAGGTGCCCCGCGAGCCCGGCAACCCCGGCAAGGGCAACTACTGGACGCTCGACCCCGGCGCCATCGACATGTTCGACAACGGCTCCTTCCTGCGGCGCCGCAAGCGCTACAAGCGCCAGCACCCGGACTTCCTCAACGACCCGCACATGTTCTCGCTGCTGGCCACGGGCATGGTGGACCCCTACCACCTGCAGCAGCACCACCACATGCAGCAGCAGCAGCAGCAGGCGGCCGCCACCGCTGCCCTGCTGGCGCCGCACCCCGCCATGCTGCACCGCCCGATGCCCGTCGCGCACCACCCCTACATGCCGCCCGCGCACCTGCACCCTCACGCCCACCACCACCCTCGCGCAGCAGGCGGACTTCCTGCGGCAGTTCCGCGGCTCCCTCGGCCCCGCCGTGCAGCAGATCGCCTCCCTCGGGGCCCCTCCAGCAGGCCAGCGCCCTCAGCCCCAGTGCCCAGCAGGTCGCCGCCCTCGCCAGCCCGCCCCGCGCAGCAGCACCCGATGAGCGCCCGCCGCAGCCCGCCGGCGCCCGGCCCCGTCGTGGCGCCCTTGGCCCTCAAGCCAGCCCTGGCCGGCTCGCCCTCGCCGCCCCTCACGCGCCCCGCCGCCCGCGCCGCCTTCACCATCGACGCCATCATGGGCCGCGACAAGGCCTGCACGCCCCCGCCGCCCGCCTCCGCCTCGCCGCCCGCCTCCAGCGCCTCGCCGCCCATGTGCCGCCCGCAGACCCTGCCTCCGGCGCTGCCCTTGGCGGCCGTCAACCCCGAGCCCTTCTCCAGGCTGCTCATGGCGCCCTTCCTCGCCCACAACCTCTCACGCCCATTCCCGCACGCACTGCCGCCCGCGACCTCCCTCGCACCGACGTCCATATCACGGTGAGGACGCCCGCGCACGCCGCCCGCGTCTCGCAGGCGGTGTCATGTCATCCTCGCCCTCGCGCCCATCCAGTCCCCGCCCGCAACCCGTGGGCGAAGCGGTATTACAAGCACCACGCCCATCACCGCCCACCAAACATTCCTCTTGTCCACGTGTGTAAAACTCAGTCATATAACTCTAAGTCTCTTCTATGTATATAATGTACAGATCATATTGTATAGATATTGTAAATTATTATCAATATTATTATTATTATTATTATCATTATCATCACTACCATCTTTATTATCACCACTGTATGTTTTTTATAGCCATTGCTATTATATTTGATTAAAATTGATAATTCCTAACAAATTCTTTCCTTCACCCTGGAAACATATATTTTCTACCAGCAATATATTCAAAATCAGAAATGCAAATTTAAAGAAAACAATTAATTACAAAAGACCTAATATCAATTAAAAGATAGATAAACCCAATTACAAAAATATCAATTAAGAGATAGATAAGAATTATTAAAAGAGAATATAATCTTGATATGAATGAGAAACGCCAATCTATAATTATTCTTATATTTGCATATCTAAAACACTATAAAATCTATCACCCAGTTTCATATGAATAATAAATTATAATAAGTTTCATATAAATAAAAATCTATTTGCAGATATCTCCCAACCTCAAGAAGTACAAATTCCTATTCAACAGCAATAAGATAATGCGCAAATAACTAATTAAAAAAAAATACATTTACACATATTCTTCTAAACAAACTCCTCAAGATACCAGAGAAGACGAGCCAAGGAGACAACGTTTGAACAGCTGATAAAGAAGGGAAAAAAAACGTTTCGAAGATGCTGCTACACGGATTCTCGCGAGTCTTAGGATGAAGATGGAGATGCTGTGAGGAAGAGAGAGATGAGAGAGATGAGAGAGATGCTCGGATCCGGGGAGCGTGACATCCGCCATCGCCTCAAGGTGAGAGAGAGGACGGGGGGTTGGGGGGTTGGGGGGGGGGGAAGACAGTGCTTTGAGATCAGTATTTTTTTTTTTTTTTTTGGTATTTATTTTTTTAACTTCAGGTTTTTTTTTTTTTTTTTTAGATATTTAGGTTAGGGTTTAAGGGTTTTTTAATAATGAAATGAGATATATAAATAAAAAAAAGGGTTTAAGGGTCTTTTGAATAACAGAATGAGATATATCAATAGAAAGAGAGTTTGCAGTATCGAGTATTTCGATATAGAACATAGACAAATTAATCGATTTATGATAGATATCTTTTGTTGATAATTAAGAATTGCTTCCATGTACTGGAGTAGATATTTTTTTCAAGCGTAGAAAAAAAATCTATAGAGACAAACAATGACAGATATAAAAAGACTGCATTTTATTTACATATATATGTGGAGAGAGTTTACACCGAAAACACTAGTCATTTAGCACTAGATTCCGC